CTTCTCGTTGCAGAGCACAGGCTCTACGCACGCGGGCTTCAGTAGTTGTGGCTCACGGGCTCTAGAGCGTAGGCTCAGTAGTTATGGTGCACGGGCTTAGTTGCTCCGTGGCATGTGGGATCTTCCCAGACCATAGGTCAAACCTGTGTCCCCTGAGTTGGCAGGCGGATTCCTAGCCACTGCGCCACCAGGGAAGTCCTATTTGTAGATTTTCTGGTGCCCATTCTAACTGGTGTGAGGTGATACCTCATTGTAGTTTTGATTTACATTTCTCTAATAATTAGTGATGTTGAGCATCTTTTCATGTGCTTCTTGGCCATCTGTATGTCTTTGGAGAAATGTCTATTTAGGTCTTCTGCCCGTGTTTTGATTGGGTTGTTTATTTTTTTGATATTGAGCTGCATGGGTTGTTTATATATTTTGGAGATTAATCCTTTGTCCATTGATTTGTTTGCAAATATTTTCTCCCATTCTGAGGGCTGTCTTTTCATCTTGTTTGTAGTTTCCTTTGCTGTGCAAAAGCTTTTAAGTTTCATTAGGTCCCATTTATTTATTTTTGTTTTTATTTCCATTATTCTAGGAGGTGGATCAAAAAAGATCTTGCTGTGATTTATGTCAAAGAGTGTTCTTCCTATGTTTTCTTCTAAGAGTTTTATAGTGTCCAGTCTTACATTTAGGTCCTAATCCATTTTGAGTTTATTTTTGTGTATGGTGTTAGGGAGTGTTCTAATTTCATTCTTTTACATGTAGCTGTCCAGTTTTCCCAGCACCACTTATTGAAGAGACTGTCTTTTCTCCATTGTATATCCTTGCCTCCTTTGTCGTAGATTAGTTGACCATAGGTGTGTGGGTTTATCTCTGGGCTTTCTATCCTGTTCCATTGATCTATATTTCTGTTTTTGTGCCAGTACCATATTGTCTTCTTTACTGTAGCTTTGTAGTATAGTCTGAAGTCAGGGAGTCTGATTCCGCCAGCTCCGTTTTTTTCCCTCAAGACTCCTTTGGCTATTCGGGGTATTTTGTTTCTCCATACAAATTTTAAGATTTTCTTGTTCTAGTTCTGTAAAAAATGCCACTGGTAATTTGATAGGGTTTGCATTGAATCTGTAGATTGCTTTGGATAGTATAGTCATTTTCACAACATTGATTCTTCCAATCCAAGAACATGGTATATCTCTCCATCTGTTTGTGTTGTCTTTAATTTCTTCAATAAGTGTCTTATAGTTTCCTTCATACAGGTCTTTTGTCTCCTTAGGTAGGTTTATTCCTAGGTATTTTATTCTTTTTGTTGCATTGGTAAATGGGAGTGTTTCCTTAATTTCTCTTTCAGATTTTTTCATCGTTATTGCGTAGGACTGCAAGAGATTTCTGTGCATTAATTTTGTATCCTACAACTTTACCAAATTCATTGATGAGCTCTAGTAGTTTCCTGGTGGCATCTTTAGGATTCTCTATGTATAGTATCATGTCATCTGCAAACAGTGACAGTTTTACTTCTTTTTTTCCAATTTGTATTCCTTTTATTTCTTTTTCTTCTCTGACTGCCGTGGCTAGGACTTCCAAAACTATGTTGAATAATAGTGGTGAGAGTGGACATCCTTGTCTTGTTCCTGATCTTAGAGGAAATGCTTTCAGTTTTTCACCATTGAGAATGATGTTTGCTGTGGGTTTGTCGTATACACTGATGGGCCTCTTTTTAAAGTTATTTTTTTCTGATGGGCCATTTGAGGATGTTTGTGTGTGTGGAGTTGGATTTGAGTTGACTACCCCTTCCCTAACTTTGAGATTCTGTGATTCTCTTGCTTTGACCGTATGTGACAGGAATTCTTGAAGACTCTCTCCCTGAGGGAGGCCACAGCAGTGGGTTATCCCTGCAGTGACTTCCAGGCCTGGAGTCAGTCTGAAGTGACTGATCGTTCTGGTAATCACCCTTACCACCAGGTCTGTGTGGCGCCTTCTCCTTCTCACCCTATCAGCTGGAATGTGTCTTCCTGGGAGGAATCATTTGCTCAGGCCTGGCTACAACTAGGGAAGTGTCTTAGTGGCCAGGGAAGAGGAACACAAGAGAGCTGGGGTTGGCCCTTCTCACTACCCTAGGCCTTTCTCTTTATTTGTTGCTGGTACCTGCTATGTACCAACTCCTTAAGCACCCAGGCTGGAGTGGGGGCTACGCTGGAGAAGGAGAACCTCCCCTCATGAGAGGGGTGTGTCCAGGGTACCTGGGAACTGAGGGTAGTTTGCCTCAGTAAACTGGGGGAATTCTGGAATGTTTGTTTCTTAAAGCCTCAGGTACTGCATTAGAGCCACTGGGTCTCACCAGGGCAGAAACTGTGGCCCCCTGGAAGGATGTCTGTAAAGAGACATTGGTTCACTTGCAGAGATGGTCAGGCCCAAGTCAAGGCAAGTTCTCATTTGTAGGTTGTAAACCTGCTTTGACAGGCTGAGCATGCACTTAGAGGCTTCTGTTCTGATGGCCATGGAGCTTGCTGATTTCAAAGGGGAAGAAAAGGCCTGGGCTCCATTCCTCACAGCCTCATTTTGCCATCTATGCTTTCTGCTGCTTGAAATGGGCTCTCAGCTGCTCCAGTCCAGGCCAATTTTGTGGACATTTTAATGCTGACTATGCCAGTGGCCTTCTGTGGTCTTGAATTCTTTCCTAATCTCTCAGAGTCTTGGTTTCTTCATCTACAAAGTTACACTAATCACACCAGCTTTTCAGGGCTGTGAGACTCCAATGAGAGAACACATGTAACTGTTTGGCTTACAGGAGTTTGACTTACAGTACATGAACCAGCAAGTTCATGGATGGGAGCTCTCTAGGACGGGGGCCTCAGAGATCCCTGAGCCACCTGGGAAGGGGTGGCCACTCAAGGACTGAATAAGCATGGAGCAGAGGGACTACAATGCAGGTCTCGGGATTCACCTTCTGGGCCAGCCAGGGCAGCCTGAAATCTCTGGAGCCCTTTCTTCAAATAGAAGATAAGGAAAGGCCCTTAGGGTGCTGGGGGCACCTAGACATCAGGGGTCTGCCCCAGGAGAGGGTTCTGTCCTGGCCAGCCATCTGGGCAGCAGACCTTAGCTGATTTCCCTCCCAACTTCAGGCAGGGGAGTGGTGGACGAGGCTGTTGCCAGTCCTCGGTCAAGGCTGCTCTTTAGTGTGGTGTCCCTATAGGAGACTGAGATATCCACCTTCTTCCTAGCTCTTGACCTAGTATTCACCTAGCACCTGCCAATGACTGCTTACAGCTGAGTCCTGCTTTATACCCTCAGTTGATTACCCCTAACATCCTCATAATTACTGATGAAGAGACAGGGTCAGAGGGTCATACCATGAGGGAGAGGAGAAGCAAACTAGAGGCCAAGCCTTTGAGGGAAGTGGTTGTGTGCCTACTATTCAGCCCCAGTTGTCCCTCAGGTGATCAGAGCCTTGTGGGGGGATGGAGGGTGTTTGGGGCTAAGCCCCACTTCCCACACGCCTCAGACAGATGGCTGGGTGGAAGGCAAAGGATTGTTTCCTGACAACTTGGACAGAAGGTGTGGGAGGAGGGGAAGTGGGTCACTTGGCCACTTAAATTGAACAGGGTTTGCCCAGAGCTCAGTCCTCCAGAGCAGAGGGGCTGGGCCAGGCACCATGGGAACAGGGGTGCCCCAGTCAGGGAGACAGACCATAAACAAATATGTAAATGTGACAGTCTCATGCAGTGACAAGTGCTAAGAAGATGAAACGGGGTGGTGAAGTGAGTAAATGGGTGGCTGCTTTAGACGGAGTGGTCACAGTGTCTGAAGGTATCTATGAGGAGGTAACATTTGACCTGACACATATGTGACAAGGAAGCAGACACATGGAGATCTACGAAGAAGGGTGATCCAGGTAGAAGGATCAACAGTTGCAAACCCCTCCAGTGAGACAGGCTCAACATGTTCCAGAAACAGGAAAATGCCCAGAGTGGCTGCAGAGGACGGGAAGGAGTGGGTGGCAGGAGACAAGGTTGGATAGCTGGGAGGCCAGGCCACCCAGGGCCTTGAAGCCAGGATAAATGGTTGAGACTGTCAGTGGGGAATGGGAAGGGAAGTCATTGGAGGGCCGTAGGACAGGATATACAGCACCCCTCAGATCATGGAAAGAGGTGCAGTTTGTTCCTGAAGGACAGGCACTATGCAGCCTTCCCTCTCACTCCCCACAGTGCACGCCTGTGCTCTGGGTTTAAGCCAAGGTTGTCTGTCAGTCCCACCTGTCGGAGTCCTTCTCAGCCTCTGCTTCAGGGCTCTTGGTGGCCTAGCAGACAGTAGGTGTGAGGGTAATAGAGATGGTTGGTGCCAATTTCAAGGGTCCCACTATAAGCTCAGCATATCTGGCATTCTTTGCGGACCTCGGTGATGGGCCCTCAGAGGTGAGCATCCTTCTGTTTTATTAGTCTGGAGTCAGTAATGTCCTCTTCCTCATCACTCTCCTGCCTCCAGCCCTGACCCAGGTCCAGCTAGGCCAGCATCTATATCTGTTTTGCTGAGCTGGTAGAATGGGGTTGTGACTTTGAAGATTTGGGAAAACTGTGAGATCATCCCCAATGGGTGAAAACACCCATTGTTTAGTGTGGCAGTCTGCCTGGTGCCATTGTTTGGAGGCAGAAGCCCTGGTTCAGACCTGTCTTGCCCCTGTCTTGCCCCTGTCTGAGAAAGCCAAGGTCAGAGATCAGGGCTTCAGCCCTACATGTTGTTCATTTTTTTTTTTTTAATTTATTTATTTTATTTTTATTTATTTTTGGCTGTGTTGGGTCTTCATTGCTGTGCGTGGGCTTTCTCTAGTCATGGCGAGCAGGGGCTACTCTTCGTTGTGATTCACAGGCTTCATTGTGGTGGCTTCTTTTGTTGCAGAGCACGGGCTCTAGGTGTGTGGGCTTCAGTAGTTGTGGCATGCAGGCTTCGTAGTTGTGGCTCACAGGCTCTAGACTGCAGGCTCAGTAGTTGTGGCGCACGGGCTTAGTTGCTCCGCGGCATATGGGATCTTCCCAGACCAGGGCTCGAACCCGTGTCCCCTGCGTTGGCAGACAGATTCTTAACCACTGCACCACCAGGGAAGCCCCCATGTTGTTCATTTTTATCTCCAGACTAGTTATCACTGGGAGTCCTGGCTCTGGAGTCCACTAAGCCTGGTTCCATCCAGTTCCACCATTTATTAGGCTCGTGACCTTGAGCAAATTAGCTGACCTTGCTGGGCCTCATTTTGCTCATCTCTAATATGGGAGTTGACTCACAGGGTGTTAGAACAAATGCACGTAAAGCCCTTAGCACATTTCTACACGTAATACACATTAGTGAAAATGAGACATTATCAGCCGGACATTGCTGTTTCAAGTTTCAAAATATGGAAACACTGACCCAGAATTTGAGGATAAAAATGAAGTTTTTTCTGTTACCCAATGGAATCTCCTGGGCCAGAGGTTTTAACCTGGGGTCTGTGACAACCTCAGGGAGTATGAATGAGTTGAAATCATTCACAAGGCTGGGGCATCTCTGCCTCTGCGGAAATTTGTTGGGAAAGGGCCATGGTTTATGAGACATTTTTAGAGCGTCTTTGCACCCACAGAGACCTAAGGGTCAGTGAAAGCTGAAGCTCAGTGGGTAAGAGGTCACCAAGGTCATTTCTGCTCCTCAAGGAGCCTGGCCTTAGTCAGCCTAAGTGAAGCAGGAGACGGTGTGGTCAGCAGCCCTCTTGGAAGAGCTGTAGGAGAAGCTGTCATGAAGGTCACTCTCCAATCTGATGTGAGGCTGCCCCTCAGCCTTGGCATTTTGTTTCTTTCCAGGCTGTTCTTTCCACAATAAATATATTAGAAACAAGGTCAAGGCTGGCTGGCCATCCTGGGGAACATCCTCCCAGCCTGGCCCACCTCTCCTCTATGTTGCATGGGGATGGGAGGTGGGCTCTGCACCCTGTTGCTTTTTCTGGACTCAGGAATGCTGCCTCCTGGCTATGAGTGCAAAGCTTTGTGGAAGATTTGGAGTCAGAAACTATAAATCCTGTAGTTTGCTGGACTCTGTGCTGGGAGGTTGAGGAGGTGGGGTCGGGTGTGGCAGGAACCACACTGGAACCCTCACAGCCCAGAGCTGTGTTCAGGCAGAGGAATGAGCCCTGGGTGTGTTGATATGGCTTTGCACGTGGGGTTGGAGTCAACAGTTGAGTCTGGAAAGGAGGACCCAAATGTGTGGCATCTGAACAGTGACCTGAGGGGAGGGCGGGCATCATGGCAGGAGGACTCACCTGTGCAAAAGACACAGGGAGCAAGCACTCAGAGAGTTCTGGTGTGTTTATGTGTGGAGCTGGATGGAGATAGGAGAGAATGGCTGAGGAGTCAGGGACGGGTGTGGATAGCCACATGTGGAGCTTTGGGGGTTTGACCTTTAACCCAAGGGTGAGGGTTTTGTAGGGGAGGGACATGGACAGCCTTGTGGTTTAGAGCTCAGGGATGCAAAGTTAGCAGAAAGCAAGCAGTGACCTTGACCAGAGAACCCAGTATCAGCACTGATGTACTGGGTGAGCTTGGGGCAACCAGCTGAACCTTGGTTTTCCCACCTGTAAAGTGGGCTGACAGTGGAATCTGACCACATGGCGATGTGATCACGACATAGAGATAAACACATCAAGGTCAAGAAGGCCTCGAATGAGGTTGGTGTTGGCCTCAGCAGCCCCATTTGACATCTTTAAAGCAAAGTCTTCAGTCCACATACTTTTGAAGGTTCCTTCTCCCACTTTCTGGGAGCCCCTGAGCAGTCCTGTTCCTCAGGAGAGCTCACTCTGCCCTGTCCCACTCCACCGGGCCAAAGGGGTCTTCTTGTCCTTTTATCCCTCCACCTCTTTACTCTACCACTACTTCTGCCAAGTAGTTTTTGTATTAGCATGTTAATCACACTGTTAAGAACAATGTTGAAAAAGGAAAAAACACCCCCCCACTTCCTTCACCTCACTGTCCCACCACATGGCGCCACTTTTTTTTTCTTTGGATGAGCTTCTGGCCTTATTTCCCCTCATCCTCCATCTCCAGCTTCTCGGTTTCCTGCCCTAATCTCTTTCTGAGGCTCTAGACATTTGCTAATGTTGTTTCTTCTGACTGGCATACTCCTTTCTCCAAGACCTTCCCTGAGGGCTGCTTAGGACAGAGCGGGAGATGGCCCTCATCCATTCCTCCAGCTTTCCCCCTGCCCCAGAGTTCAAGATGCTCAGCAAGGCATCTTGAGAGCATGATGTGGTAGGGTTGGGCCACAATGAGTGAGCCAAGCATAGTGAATACTAGGGTGGAAGGGGCAGAGATGCGAGATGTGGGGCTGTGTCCTGCCTCCAGTAACCCAAGTTTGCATGTGGTACAGTCACAGTCTGACCCCTTGGAAATGTGACCAAGACAGAGCAGCTGGGACTAGCTGTTGATCCTATGTTTTTCCCATTTGTTGATGTATTTCTTGGCAGAGTGTGAACTGGGATACACCTTGTCCCAAGCAGGCGTGACCGGGTCCAAGCTTTCTCCTCTGCTTGTTTTAGACTTTCCTGGACATTTCTTAGTCATCCCAGCACTGAACTGCTATTTTTAGTGCCACCACCTCCTAGGGGACTTAAAATAAAGCTGGCTCAGCTTCCTGGCCCCTCATTGGCTGGAGTGTTGGTCACAGGCAGGGAGATTGGCTGGATTGGGGATAAGCCACTGCCCACTAACACTGTCCTTCCCTCTGGCTCTTCTGGCCTTGGGTGAGGTCATAGGGACTGGAGCAAACTAGCACTTACCATGTTGAGTTGAGGGCTTTACTAGGTTCCCTTAGTGAGACCACAACCACTGGCAACCTCAGGGTTCCACCCTCTTATAGAGAAGGGGGCTGAGGCCCTAAGAAGTGCAGTGACTTGCGTGAGATCCCACTACTGCCAATGGTTGTCTGCCAGGGCCAAACCCACCTCCTTACTGCTTTGGTTCAGAGTTCCTGTTATTAGGAGAGAGGGGGTGGGCTCCTCTACAGTCAGAGATGACTACAGAGCAACACACAGGTCTGCTGTCATGGATCCTGCAGGGAGATGCACGCCACCCTACCCGGGCCTGCCAAAGCGTGAGCGACTCTTTCATCTGGGGCTTGGGTTTTCCGTCTAGCAGCCTGGGGTCCCTGATATCTGTAGCGGGGGGGCCCACCCCTCCCTCTCCTCCCCCCCTCAGAGACTGGAGAGGGGCAGCCCTTCTGATGGAGTGAGTGCTGGGATGGGGATGTGAAGACATGACACATTTCCCCCTCACAGCCTTCATTTCCCCTCCCAACATTTCTGTTATTACCTGTGATCCTCTGAACCCATGGTTCCAGCTCTGAAGTGGGTAGATATAACCCCCATCAGTGACGAAATCATGTCACCTGGCCTCAAAGACGTAACTACCCCCTTAAGACAAAGTGTGTGCGGGGGGAGTCACTCGCTGTCTTTGTTGCAACTGGGGCCTTGAGGAGCCATTTCCCCCCACTCCCAATGGGTCTTCTTCCACCTGCCAGTAAGCCCGGAGGGCAGTGTTGAGGGACTGAGTGCTGAGTCTCAGCAGGACAAGGAGTGGGCCTGAAGGCTGCAATAGAAGACACTCCACATACAGACATCAGTAGTTCCCGACCTGCAAAGTGGGAAGAATAGCAATAACTCAACAGCCTTGCAGGTTGTTGAGAGGATTAAATGAAAAGATATGGGGAGAGTGCTTAGCTCCTCCTTAAAAGCCCATCCCTCCATTGGACTTGCTCTGACCTTCCTTTGTCCTGGCTCCACCCTCAGCACCCATCCTGCTGTTTCATCCACGAGAGCCCCTCAAAGGAGGGTCTGGGTCTGGTCCACCTCTGGGCTCCCTGCACTGGTCTGTATTGAGGGATCGCCTGTCAGTTCCCTGGGCCCTCTCTGTGTTTCCTGGGAGAACAGACGTCAGCAAAAGACTCCCTACTCAAGGAGGTCTGGGAGGGGTTGGGGTCAGTGAGGAGACTGGCTGGCTACCTCCTGCTTCCACGGTACCAAGGTACCAACACTACCCTCCCTGTCTCACTGGACTTGCAGGTCTCAACGAGGCCGGGTGACGCTCCAGAATGGGAGACAAGCCAATTTGGGAGCAGATTGGATCCAGCTTCATTCAACATTACTACCAGTTATTTGATAACGACAGAACCCAACTAGGCGCAATTTATGTAAGTCTTCAGCTCTAGGACCAGAACGGGACCTCAGGGAATCAATTCACATGTTGGGCCAGTGCCTCCAGTTCACAAGTTCTGGCAGCCCTCACTGAATTTGGCTGTTCCCTTTTATCTGAGCTACTCTCCATGGCACAGGGGGCTTAAGGCCTAGCCCAACTCCCTGGTCCACACATTCCTTTCTGTCATCTATAAGACTGGATTCTGATACCCTAGGCAGCAGGTTCTGGGCTTGCCATTCCATGGTCCTGGGAGTGCCTCTGTTCTAGATTGGGCAGCAGCAGACAGAGGCTAGGGCTCATGGTGCCCTCTGGAGGCAGCAGCTGTAAGCATCATCAGTGCCCCGCTGATCTCTCCTGGAGGCCCCAGGTCCACCTTCCTTTGGGGGGCCAAAAGCCGCTGAATGCTCATGGGAAACAAATGGGGTTAGTCCAGGGAGGTTGGTGTGTCTTGAGAAACCCTTCTATGCAGGTATGATTTGCTGCTGTTTTAGTGATGTTCATATATACCAAGAGTTAATTGTATTTGACCCTGCCCAAGACAGAAATGTGATTGATCAGGCCACGCCTAGCAGGTCTGCCCAGGATAGGAGAGGTAGGAGTCATCCAGCATAGCCTTGCAGCCTGACTGGGCTGTGGGCAAACTCCTTTGTGTCTCCCTCCAAAAAGTCAGGGCCAGTTCAGAAATTTTGAAGAAAAGAAAAGGATCTTACCAGTGGAAGAACAAATCCAGCACAGGTATTTGATTGTCACTATCATAGGTAGAGAATTTTAAAAACTCAAACTGGTATGACTCTGGGATCCTTGGCACTTCTACCATATTGCTTTTAAAATCAATTAAAGCAGGCCTGACCCAGAGAAGAGTTAGCAAGGTCCTAAAAGAGTACTTTATGTATGTCATTTTATATAAACCTCAGCACATATTCCTTTTAAAGATCAGGAAACTGAGACTCAGGGGGAGAAAAAAAAAAGTAGCTTGCTTAATGTCAGAGCTGGTAAGTAGCAGAGGCACTTTTGAGTTCTGCCCCTGAAGGCTGTGGCAGGAGAGATGGGGTGGGGAAGAAGTGAAGGTAATGGGTTACATGTTGATGGTAGGGAGGGTCCCAGGCAAGGCCTTGTCAGCCTCCATTCCTCTCTGACCCCATGGGAAGGGCCTCTTTGGAACTCACTGATGGCTTTTCTGGGACTGGTGCTGACTGACCATGCAGCAGGATGGCTTTTGACTGAGCCCTGGCCACATATAGCCAGCCTGGAGCTCATGCATATCAAAGGCCATACAACTTCTTGAATAAAAGGTGGGAAGTGAACTTATTAATAAGTTTGTATTTTGTTACATAGTCTTTCAGAGCTTGGGTTCTGCAGTGCTGGGGTGTAATTAAAGAAGTTGTTCATCCTGTAAAGTTTGGAAGTTACCCTCATTTTCCTTCTTTACAGGCAGGGAAACTAAGACATGAACTAATTTCCCCAAGCAAGACCCTTTTCAGGGTCCTTTCAGGGCCTCAGAGATACTCCTTGTGCTCTGAAGCCCTGACCCCAGGTTTCCTGGTTTTCAGATTGACGCATCATGCCTTACGTGGGAAGGACAGCAATTCCAGGGGAAAGCTGCCATTGTGGAGAAATTGTCTGTAAGTAAGGGCCAGGGCTGGGCTGCAGGCAGCTCCTTCCCCACCCCACTGGCCACAGCCCACCACCCACTCTTTCCTTTGCAGAGCCTTCCGTTCCAGAAAATCCAGCATAGCATCACGGCGCAGGACCATCAGCCCACGCCAGATAGCTGCATCATCAGCATGGTTGTGGGCCAGCTCAAGGTAATAGTGCTGCTGCCTTGCAGTGCTGCTGTCCTGCTTCTCAAGGGACACCCAAAGTGATGCTTAGAGCTGTGTAGCTCAGTACAATAGCCATCAGCCACATGTGGTGATTTTTAAATTACATTAAGTAAAATGAAATAAAATTAAAATGTAGTTCCTCAGTTGCATTAGTCATACTTCAAGTGCTTGTGGCTGCCTATTGGACAGCGCAAACATAGAACATTTCTGTTATTGCAACAAGTCCTATTGGAGAGCACTCGTATAGAGCATTTTTGGAAAAGGGACAAGAGGTATAGGAGCAGGATGGGGCTGTGATCCAAGCCACTGGGCCTTTGCACTGCCTCAAGGTGTAGGTGGGCCTTCTGCAGGCAGCTGATCCTGAGCTGGAGTCCATGCTGCCACTCCCCAAGCTGGCTGCTGATTCTTCCACCTGCTGAGCAAAGCAGATTCCTGAAACCCTTGCTTCTCTTTGCATTTCTCCTTCCACTTCTCAAGACCTGTTACCTTCAAAGCCTTCCTGTGGTCCCGTACCCCCCAGGAACTCCTACTTGTTATGCTCTAACAGGCTGAAGCCAGATTCTTGATTTCCCAAAAAAGCCTCTCCTCCTTCCCAAAGCAGGACAAATGAGCTGCCCCTTAACCAGGTTCCAACCTCCTGGGCCTGTGGCATCATGGGGCCCAGAGTAACAGGCCCACATGCCTTCTCCCTAGGCTAGGCAGGGCTTCTTGAGTCCGTTACAAGGGTGGAAGAAAGTGGCGGGGGTGGGGGGGGCTAGGCCTCTCCAGTGGACCCAGACGGACCTGCCTTCTGGCCTGTTCTTTCCTGTTAGTTTCTCCTGCCTGTCCAAGATACCGTGCCCAGCAAGTGTGCTCAAATAGGCCTTGGGAGTGAGGAGGTCTCTCCTGGGGTCTTAGTGCCCACTTTCCCAGGCTGGAATCAGTTAGCAGTGCCTCTTCCCACCTGGCTTCAGGTTCTTTCTGGTGTTTTTGTCCAACCCCCAAAAGACTGATTTGCCTCCTTGCTGATGATAATTCCTGGAAAAAACAGTGATATTAGAAACACTGTTGGTTGGCTGGGCTCCTACCTCAACTAGGCCTCATCTGGGTATTCTGCAGTTTGGGTGGAAGTCTCTCGCCTTTCTTTTTTCGTTGCAAATATGTTACATGACAAGAAACAGATTACCTGATAGTGCTGCATTGGTTTTTTTCGCTTGTAGAGCTGTAATCAGTGTGAGCTTGGTTTTGAGCCTTTTCTCATGTACTTGGCCATAGTCAGTATTAGTAGTACCTTCTCCTGGTTGGACTAACTGGCATAATCAGACACTAAGATTGTTTAGTTTACAGATTACTGTGAGTTACATGGTAAGTGCTGCAGAACTCTTTCAAATTGATCATTTGTGCCCAGAAACATGGGTTCAGAGGCACGTACGTTCTCTGCTCTGTTGCTGTAGCTAACTGGTGAGTTGTTCTGCAGTTTGTGTACATAGCAGTGTGAGCTGCCATCTCAAGGCCCAGTTTAGTGCCCAGTTTAGTGCCCAGTTTAGTGTTTCATACATTGTGTCAATTCACAGTCACAAGTACCCCTTAGCTCTCCTAGGATTTGCGTCCAAATTGTAGGGCCTGATCCCAAGTCAGCGTTCACCTCCTGCTGAACACCCTTCCTGTTCCTTGGCCACCTTACTGAACCATTTTCTCTCTCCTCACAGGCCGATGAAGACCCCATCATGGGGTTCCACCAGATGTTCCTATTAAAGAACATCAATGATGCTTGGGTTTGCACCAATGACATGTTCAGGCTTGCCCTGCACAACTTCGGCTGACCTCCTCCCAGCCAGGCACTCATGCTGTTTCCTCCTCCCTCCTCTTCCCGATATTATTCATGCTCCTCCAGATGCTCCAAATATCATACACAAATGAGCAGCGCCGCGGTGGGAGTGGGCGCAGTGCGCTACTGCTGCCGAGGTATTGTGCATGATGTTTGGACGCTAGACTAGTTGCATCTGATGGGAGAAGTTTGTGTTGTACCAGCGCATGCCTTGGAAAGACTTAAGTAATGCGAAAGGTTGTCTTTTTTTTTTTTTTTTTTTAAATCTACTGACAAGTTGCTCTAGTAACCCAAAGAAGTGAAGGAGAAAGCAGCTGCCTCACCACCGAGATATTGATTTGTTCAGATGTTTCAATGCCTCATGATACAATAAAACCACAAAAATTTTCTTAACAGTTTAAATTGTTTTAATTAGTTTAATAGTTGGCTGGGCATCAGTAACTACCCTGCCTCATTGGCTCTCTCATGTCTCACCCTCCCACCTCTGCCCCACTTCAGCGATACCTGTTGCAAGGAGAAAACGCTGAAGCAGCACTCTCAGCTGGCTTCTCTCAGAAGCCCTGTAGGGCATAGTGTTCCCTCCATGGCCCACCTGGTCTTGGGAAAGTGAGCTGCAGACAGGCAGAGCTCAGGTCTGACCTGAAGCTTCCCTTGCACTGAAGCCTCTGCAGTCAGTTCTGACACCTCCTGTGATGTCTACGCTGGGTAGGGTCAAGGCTCTAATGACATGTGAGATGACCCAGAACCCCACCGAAGATGGAAAAGCCTTGGCAAAAATGGCCCATTAGCTTCAGGCCCTCTGAACTGAGGGCTCAGCAAGGCCAAGTATGAGCAGAGGTTTGAGGGAGAAGGGCCTGTTCTATCCACAGAAGGGTCAGGATCACATCCAGTGTGCCCTGTAAATCCCAAGCCAAGCAGAGGGCAGCTCTGATGCTGTACCATCTGCTGTGGATATCATTACCCAAAGGGGAGTAACTCGAACAGCCAGCCTCCAATGCCCATGGAGCCAGGCCCGGTTGGGTTGGAGTATAGATTTAGAACTACGAAAGAAAGCATTCTGAGTTTGAGGGATTTAGGTTCTAGGATTTCTCACCCCTGAGACCTCTGCAAGGCATCTCTAGGCCTCCTCCAATTCCCTCCCTGACCACACACACACACCTTCACACTATCTTCAAATCCCGGGAAGTCTCAGCTGTTGGGGCAGTTTCTGCTCCTCAGTTTTGGGGACAAGCCTTGCCTAGTACAAATCTAGCCCTTGAGCCCTGAGACCTTGGTGGTGTAAAACTCGTGGCAAGGTAGCAACCACAGGCTAGAACCAAACCCAGGACTTGGGCTGATGCCCTGTTAGGGGTTTTAGGATTGGTGAGGGCACCACAGCTTTGCCTGACCTGCACAGCCCCCTTCCCTCCTGCACTATGGATGGAAGCCAAGGACTTCCTCAGACCCCCACTGGTTGCCTGGCTACACTGGGCACTGGGCTGGATGATGTGCTGTTTGAAAGGACAGCATACTCAGGAGATTTCAATGGGGCTGATTTCTTGGCTGCTGTGTATTTGGGGGGTGGAGTTTGGGGAGAGAGGTAGAAACCTGCTGCCTCTTAAACCACCCTGTATAAAATCTGCAATACAGCTTTTCCATGTATCTGTGCCTGAAATGTCTGCAATAAAGAGGTGTTTGTAAACTATGGTTCCTTTCTTTTTGCCTGAGGGTGCCAGGTCATGCAGGGGGATGCTGGGAGACGTTAGGGAACAATGTGATGTTTGTGGTGGGACCATCTCCTCTGCCCTTGCAATTCCGGGGTCCGTGACTTCACGGGTCCCCTCAGGTCTTGGGTTACACTGACCCACTTCCCAAAGGGGAAACCGAGGCTCCTACCAATTTAGCTTGCTCCTGGGGCATCTGAGGGATTCAGCTTGGGCAACCAAATTGACCCGGTCCTAGGCCCACCATGAGCCCATGCTTTGAGAGTGGACATGGACCAGGCGGGATATCCTGAGGCAAGTAGGGCGCTTTGGGCGGTCCAGTAGGTGGACATTTGCTCTGCCTCAGCCTCAAGGAACTCCCCAGACCCTACTAGCGCAGGGGCAGGACCGCGGTAGGGGCGGGCTCCGGGAGGGGCGAAGCGTCCGACCCCCAGCCCGGAACCTTTCTTCTCCGCTCTGCTCAGGTTCCGGGAGCCGAGTCCGGGGCGGGCCGGAAGTGGAGGCGGTTGGTGGGGTTGGCGGGGCTCAGGGACGCGGCGCGGGTGGCGGTTTGCGAGCTTTGGGTGGACCGAGTGTAGTGACTGGTCCCACTGTCTGGTGCTGGCGGGGTAGTGTTCAGCTGGACGGTGCGCGGCGGCGGCGAACGAACGCGGCGCGGACCCGGGCGCCCGCAGCTGGGCCCATGGCCTCCTCCTGTGCGAGCATCGACATCGAGGACGCCACGCAGCACCTGCGGGACATCCTCAAGCTGGACCGGCCCGCGGGGGGTGAGCCGGAACGGTGGGGGTGGGTCCTTGGTGAGCGGGCAGAAGGGCGGTGCGGGCCTCGGCCACCCTCATGGCCCTCGGGTCACTCAGGACCGGCTCTGCATCCTCCCGGCTGGTGAGGGCAGACGAGGGTCGGAGCGGCAAATCCCTGAGCGTGCTTGCTGAAGGGCGCAGACCCCTGGGTGCAATCCTGCCCCATCCCGGAGCCGGGCCGTTCTGCCTCGTCCTTCAGCGTCTCGGCTGAAGGTGAGGCACCTTCTCTGAATTCGCAGAGCCCACCAGGTGTCCTGGCCGCAACGTCTCTAGTCTTCCTGGGACTGGCCCGGGTTCCCTACCCTTTTGCCATAGTTCAGAGGCCTAGTCTGGGCTCTGTATGCGGAGTTCTGGATCTAGACCTAGGCGCTGTAATGAAGAGCCGCTGATCTCCCTATGCAACTTGCCCTTCCTTCTGGAATACAGACTCTAGGCATGCGATTCTGAAACTGATTTTCAGGAGGACGGTGACCACCCCCAATTCCGTGTCCTCTTTGGGTTTAAGGCAAATCACAGACTGCACAGTCCTGATTGGATCTACAAACATCTGCAAGCCCTAGTTTACGTCCATTCGTTTAAACTTTTCTTGGGTTTGCAGTGGTACCTCAGCTGCTCCTGCCCTCAGTGAGCTCCTAGGACACAGAGCTAACAAGGTGTAATATAATGCTCTTCTCATTGAAAGAGAGAAGTGTTTGGCACTGTGATGGGGATAGGGTGGGTGGGGTGGGGGCTGGAGAATGCCTGAGAACAGATCTGAGAGAAGAGCAATTTTTAGGCTAGGTCTTGTAATATGGAGAGGGGCTTGGGTGTCAGGAAAGACATTCTGCAAAGAGGAAATAGCATATGTGAAAGTACCAAAGTTTCATGGCAGGTTCAGGGACCGGTGAAATGTTGTAGTGGTTGAGAGACTGGCTGGTAATGGAGGTGTGGATGTGCAGTGGCCAGAGCTGAGAATTGGTGTTTCCTCAGACCCTGTTCTGAAACCTGCTGGAAGGCCCAAACTGGTTCCCTTTGGAAGCAGGCACTGGTGCTCACTCCTGGGTTTAGCTAACCTCTAATCTCTGAGAAAATCTATCTGCTGCCTGGAACCACCAAACCCTTTTCCCCAGGCCTGGAGTGTGTGCTCCTTGAACTCATGGGCTTGGCCTGGCCCTCTCATGCTTATTAGCTGCTAGCAAACTAGTCTTCACAAAGGTTTGGTAGAGCCTGGCATGGGTAATGTGTAGCTTGTTTGTTTGTCCTCATGGTAGCCTGCCTGGAAAGGAGAGTGGTCAGCTTACCCCTGAGCAGCTAAGGTGGCTGTGATGCAAGTGAGGTGGTCCTCTTAACTCTTTGCTTACTGACTGGTACTTGATTCCCCTGTTTGCCAAGTAGCCCTTGCTTGTCTCCTCTCACTGGAGGACCATGTGAGACCCCAGGCAGTTTTGTGACTAGAAACTTGTCATATTCCTTGAATATGAGGCCTTACTCTCCTTGCTACCTGGGAGTTTTGGAGTAGTGTCTGAACCTATGAGGGTGCTTGAAACAGCCAATGGTAAACAACTGAAAGGCTGTCTTTCCTGATTATACACCCTACCCCATAATTTCTCTACTCTTTGTCCAACTCCTTCATGTCCATTCCTCCAGGGTGGCTTCTTCTGAGCCATTTCCGTGTCAGGCAGTCTCCTTCCTTTCTTACTTCCACATCTTATCATGTTTTTCCATGCCTTAGAAGCCCACCCTCTCTTCTCCAACCCCTCCACTACTTTGATGTAGGCCCTGGTATCTCTCACCTGGATTCTCAACTATCCTGCATGCTACTTTAGAGCAGTCAGTCCTCTGGCCATAGCAGATCATGTCACTTTCCTATTTAAAACTTCTGTGGCTCTCATTACCACAGGGAAAATCTAAGCACCCTAGCCTCATACCCGAGACCTCTGCAGCCTTGTTTTCCCTCCATCCTTCCCATGTTTGTGTGTTCTAGCCACGCTGGCTCTGATGGCACCTCCTCTGTAAAGTCTGTCCTGACCCTTCCCATGTCCTCCTTCAAGTACACAGAGTCCCTCTGTACTGACCCAGGCCTGAGTATTAATTGGACTCAGAGCATTCTTATACCCTTCCCTCAGGTAGAAGAGCTTCATGCTCATCCTTGGTCCTAGCATGCATTAGGTTCACCATCAGTGTTTATGGAATAAAGGTTGAACAAAGGGCCCTCCTCGCCACTGACGAGCCTTGTTGAGTGTTCCTAGAGCACCTCATGGTTCTTGAGTGAAGCTCTGCAGGAGGAGAGGCCAGTGGGCAGGTGGAATAACTTCATCAGAGTGGCCCTTTCTGTCTCTAGGTCCCAGTGCAGAGAGCCAGCGACCATCTAATGCCTACAATGGAGATCTCAATGGGCTCCTGGTCCCAGACCCCCTCTGCTCAAGTGATGGTACTTCAACAAACAAGCCTGGTCTCCGAGCCATGCCTCCTATTAACCTGCAGGAAAAGCAGGTCATGTGAGTGTCTGGGAGATGGCAGTGGTGGTGATGGGGTCTTTGAGGCATTTGTGAACTAAAGGCATAAGGTGAGGGGAGAGGGTCTAGCAGCCTCTGCTGCTTCCCCACTAGATGACCTGGGGTGGAACACTTAACCTGAGTTTGCACTAGGATGAGGGGCAACGACAAGCTCAAGGGCTTGGCCTGGATCTGAAGTTTGGGCACCTGGTTTAGCATGGAAGTAGGGCCATTCCCAAGGAGGGAGGTGAGCAAGGGAAGCTGTAGGTTTGGGGACCAGTGAACCAGGCAGAGTTGGGCATCTGGGACTTTACACTTTCACCAGAGTGTCTGTATCTTCTCCCCCCAACCCTGCCCATCGAGACTTTGGGTGGACAAGAGTCACGCTATGCACCCCTCCCCCCAGCTGCCTCTTAGGAGACGAC